AGCCCAGCAGGGTCTCTTCCCCTTTCTGCCTCTCACAGCCTCACCTGGCGCTGCCTGTGTGTCTCCACCGGCTTTCTCCCCAGTGCTCCCTCATCACGCAATGCTGCCCCCAAGAGTCCGTCAGGGCTGGCGCTTGGCAGGTGTGGCGGCTGCCTCCGTCCCCTCCCTGCTCCCCCATGCCTCCCGCCATGTCTCAGTGGGTGCTGAGAAGGGTGGGGGTCAAAGGACAGACCCTGAGAATCCTGCTCCTGAAGGAAGGTCTGAGCCAGAAGGGACCCGGGAGACCCGCCCTCCTACCTGAGATTCCCAGACCTGTGTGGTGAAAAGAGTCACCAGAGGCCGGGCACAGTGACTCACACCTGTAATCCCAGCACATTGGGAGGCCAGGGTGGGAGGACCGCTTGAGGTCCGGAGTTTGAGGCTGCGGTGAGCCATGGTCGCGCCACTGGACTTCAGCCCAGGTGGCAGAGTGAGATCAGGTTCAGCAAATAAACAAACAGATGAACAAACAGCTAAATAGAATCACCCGGAGCACTTGTCCAGACACAGGTCCCAGTGCTACCCCTCCCCGCTCCTGACAGGCAGAGTGAGAAACTGTCCACCTTACAGGCAGGAGACTGAGGCCAGAAAGGGAGCTGCCGGCACGAGGTCCCGTGGCCAGAGTGAGTGAGATGGGCCGGGCCGTGGCGTCTGCCCAAGGCTGGGCGGGGGGGCGGGCAGGCTCCCTGGCGATCTGGCCTGAGCAGGGGCAGCCCCTGGGGCCGAGCTCCCCCGCACGAGCCGACCTGGGGAAGGGGAAGTCCTGCAGGACTGGGGGGCGTGGGGCTCCAGACTAGGAGACCGGGTGGGGCCGGAGGAGGTGGCCTGGGGGTGGGGCAGGGGCTCTGGCCTGGCCCACGGGAGACCGGGAGAGGACACGGCTTGTGCTCAGAGAAACAAGTGGGTGCTGTCGGGACTCAGGGGCAGAGAGCATGGGGGAGGGTGGCGAAGGCAAGAGGCTGGTGGCGGCTGCCCTTCCCCCGACCCCTGGGCGATGCCAACCCCTTCTGCCTGCGCTCGGCCCTCCAGGGTGCTGGGCGGGGCTTTCTGGTGGCCCAAGTCTCCCCTGCTCTGAGGCCGGTCCCCAATTTCCCGGAGCCTGGTGCTGCCCATGCCCCTGTTCCCGGCACCTCCTAAAGACTGGCCCTGCCTACTCTGGAGCCCCATCCTGCCCGGCGGGGCTCTCCCCACTCCCCCCCCCACCAGTGTGCGAGAACCAGGTAGAGGGCTGGAGCCCCAAGTCCTGTCATCCCCTTTGGCCATGTCAGATGTTGGATTCCAGCCCGTTCCTGCTGTGTGACCTTGAGCATGTAACCTCCCCTGACCAGGGCCCTCAGAGGTCAGGGTCTCAGGCCTCCCGCCTCCTGGTGGGTGGGGTTGGGGCTGCCGTGTCTTAGCTGGTGAGGACCCTGTGGCCCTCAGCTACCCTGTGTCTCCCAGGGAGGCTCGGGTGGTGGACACTGGGAGGTGTTCTGGTTCCTGACTCAGTGGAGGCTGCCACCCGCCCGCCCGCCTCTCCAGCCTCCTGCTCTTGCCCGGAGCCCCTGCTGCTGGTGCCTGGCATGTGGGTCATCAATTAACTTAATTAGCGAAGATGCCATCCCCTCTGCCAGCACAGCCCCCTGCCCCACCCCACCCCCAAGACTGCCCACGCCTCCCAGAACTGAGAAGAGGGCCCAATGAACCGAGAGCAGGTTTCTCAGCTCCGGGCTGGAGAAGCCCTAATTAAGCGCCAGTGCCCTCGGGCATCGCAGATAACGGTTCCAGAGTCTCTGCAAAATGGGACTTGCGAGGCTCCCCCAGGCCAGGCGCCCAGGAGACTGCTCCCCCATAGGGGACAGGCCCCCCTTTGGGAGCCCCGTGGTTGCCTGGAGGGCCGGGATGACACAGAGTCAGGCTCGAGCCAGCTCCCCTCCCCCGCGTGTCAGCACCCTCCACTGCCTCCACTGTCTCCCTCCACTGCGGCCCCCTCCCACCCACCAGCCCCTCCCTTTCCCACTCCCTGACACTTGCACCAGCTCTGTCCCCACCCCCATGCTCTGCTGGGCAAGGGAGTCTGGGTCCTGGACACACCTTGGTGGAACGGGAGGGGCCCGGGGTCGATGCTCAGGGTCAGGGAGAGGCCCTGCAGCTGGACCCAGGATTCCCAGCATCCAGGCACCCGTGGACTTTCTGGGCATCTTGCTAAGGGGGACCCGGGCTTCTGGGCATCCAAGCACCCGGGAACCTTCGGGGCTTCTTGGTAAGGGGGACCTGAGTTTCTGGGCATCCTGCTAAGGGGCACCTGGGCTTCTGGGCACCCAGGTACCTGGGAGGCTTCTGGGTGTCTTGCTAAAGGGACCTAGGTTTCTGGGCGCTCAGTTGCTGGGAATCTTCTGGGTCTCTTGCTAAGGGCGGCCAGGAATTCTGGGCATCCTGTTACCCAGGAACCTTCTGGGCCTCTTGCTAAAGTGGACACAGCTTCTGGGCATCCAGGTGCTGAGAGCCTTCTGGGCATCTTGCTGAGGGGGATCCAGGCTCCTGGGCATCCTGGTACCCAGGAACCTTCTGGGTGTCTTGCTAAGGGGCACCTGGGCTTCTGCGCATCCTGCTGAAGTGGAGATTCCCATTCGCTGGTCCTGGTGGTCCATGGTTCCACCCTTGAGATTCCTCCAGCCTCTCCACGCTGCTGTCTTGGGTTCAGGGACCACGGCTGGAGGAGGGGCTGGGGTGTCCGCCGGGGTAAGAGGAGCAACAGACCAGACCCCAACTCAAAAAAATTTTATGAATTAAAACTAAGAAATGACTCCTCTCAACCCAACCCCATGGGCCCAGGCGCGGCTTGGCAGGGGTGCAGGCAAGGGGTGGTGTGAGGGTCTTCCACACGCTCTGCTCCCTAGCCCCGGCCTGTGAAGGCAGCCAGTGTCGCACCTGCTTGGCTTCACTGATGCTGTCATTACCCAGGGGCTTCTCAGTGTGGATTCCTGGAGAATTTAATAAAAGGAAATTAAACACCACCTCCCGACAGCCCGGGAGGTGTGCAGATCTTCCTGGCCCCTGCCACCAGATGCCCAGAGACCTCCCCCATCCGCGTGAGCGATGGGTGCCTGCCCCCTCCCCCTCTCTCCATCACCCTCCCCTTAGGTCTCTCTGGCCCCAGCGGGTAGTGCAGTTTTCTGCTGAGGTCCAGAAAGTCTCTGATGGGTAAACCAGCCCCGGAACAGAGTGTGATGCCCCCAAGGTGCTCCAGGAAGGAGCCCTCCAGGGGCTGGGCCCTCCTGGTCACCCGGCAGGTAGGGCTGGCCACACTCCCACTCCTTGAGAGCCTTCTGACATCCATGGGTGCCAACATTCTGTAATCCAATGCCAGGGCTTGGCAGAGTCCTGTAGCTCACAGCACAGAGAGCCAATCCCAGAGACAACAGGACTTTTATTGGGGGCTTCAGCCAAGAGAACTGCAGATTCCTTCTCACATCCCTACCCCCATCCCACTGAAGTCCCAGGCTTATATAGTGCAACAGAAATGCAGAAAACAGGAATTAAGGAGGGGGAGGGGGAGGAGGGGAGTTGGGAACTAGGACTGCCTGGCCTGCGTGGGGTGATCTGGAGAGTTTCAGTCCTCGGACACTCCATGCCTGAGGGGCAGTTTCCTGAGAAAGGAATCCAGACAAGACAAATGTGCTCTTCAAGCTTGAAGACCCTGTGAGTCTGTGATTATTTTTATGTAACCACCAGTTCTGTGGAGGAGTTGGGCCTATTTTAATTCTGACGAGGGTCTGTGGCGGGCTGGTGCCTTTGCTGCCTGTGAATGGGCGACCGGGCTGCTACGAGCTCGCCCTTCTCAGCCTGCGCACGTGGCCCGTTTCTCAGCGTGGTTGCCCCCTGTCCCTCCTGGAGCCGGGGGAGGGCGAGGGAGGGCGCCAGGGACCCCCCCTCTGAGCAGCTCCCCAAACCGCCTTTCCCTCCTCGCTCACCCCCCTGGGCCGACGTGGGCCAGGCTCTGGGCTTCTGGGCCCTGCTTCTCAGGCCTGGCCGAGGGTGGACAGGGCCGTGGTCCCAAGGGACAGGCGTGTGCAGGTGGCTGGGCAGTGACCATTCCCATGCCAGGCTGGGACGTGCCTGCAGCCACAGCCTCGGCCTGTCTGGGACTTTGGTGTTGGGTGATCTGAGCAGGTCCGCACCCCCTGGGACTGTTCCCCGGAGCAGGATGGCACGGGTGCAGGCTCTTCCCGCAGGGCGGCCTGGCGGGTGCCGAAGGGAACAGGTCTGAAAACCCTGTAGGTGGGAGGCCTGGGCCTCTTGGGACTTGAGGTTCCAGGTGGAAGAGGCCAGCTCTGTCCACATGTTCAATAATTGAGGCATACCGCTGGGGCATTTGGCAGTCTCGGGAGGGGGCCCTGTCCACTTCTCCAGGGAAAGGAAGGGCCTGGGAAGTGAGTTGTGCCACTAACGGTGTCATGGTCTCTGATGACATGACCGTAGTGGGAGCAACTCGTGGGGGGCCGAGAGGACGTCGACTCCATATGGACACAGGTGGAGGAGTGATGTCTTTGGGCCCTGGTGCTTGGACAGACAGGACCACGCACAGACGTGAGGGCGGTTGCAGGGCAGCCATGTTGCATGCATACCTGGCAGGGCATCCTTCGAAGTGAAGATTCAGTCCCACCAGATTTGTCCAGTGACGTGGAGCCGCGGATGGAGCCTCGCTCCGGACGGTGCCGCTCAGAGCAATGGCCAACACCCAGGGGGGCTTGGGAGGGGTGGCCCTTGTGGCCATCGCCCGCTCCTTCCGGCCACCCCGGTGCCACCCTCACAGTGCAGCCCCCACGCCCCGGGCACTGGCCTCACAGCGCGGCCC